GTGTGTGTGTGTGTGTGTGTGTGTGTGTGTGTGTGTGTGTGTGTGTGCTGCGTGTAGTGTGTCTGTGTGTGTGTGTACATGTGTCAAATGCAAAGCAAAAAGGTTTCCCACTTCAAGCCCAGCCCCCAGCCCCACTCTGCTTCATCCTCTTGTAACTCCTTCCTACCTGCTTCTTGACGTTGTCAATCTCAGATCTCAGCCTCTGGATCATCCGGTTCATCTCGGAGATCTCATGCTTGGTGTTGCGGAGGTCGTCCCCGTGGCGGCCGGCTGTCTGCTGCAGCTCCTCATACTGCCACAGCAAAGGAGAGGGAAGACACAGCTAACTGGGGGTGTGGAATGCGCTTCCCTGTGTTCCCAGGCAGGAGCTGCCAGGAGGTGGTAATCGGGGAACCCTCCAGCGTCTCGGGCTGATTTGGGCCTTTCAAGACGGAGCTACTCTTAAGGAACTTCCTGAGTCTTTGTTCTCATAAGGTACTGACCTGAAATTTCCTCCACTTCCCGGACTTTTGTGAGAAATAGTGAGCTGGCTACGTCTATATCAAGTGGCCTTGGTAGCCTTGGGAGTCCTGTCCTGAGCACTGTGTGGCCTGGAACCCTACCCCGAGACAGGGCCATCCTCTCTTCAGGGGACAGTCACCCAGGCACCCACCTTGGTCTGGTACCAGGATTCAGCCTCTGTCCGGCTGCGGTTGGCGATGTCCTCGTACTGCGCCTTGACCTCGGCGATGATGCTGTCCAGGTCCAGGCTGCGGTTGTTGTCCATGGACAGGACCACAGAGGTGTCGCTGACGTGGGTCTGCATCTGGGACAGCTCCTGTAGGGATGCCCGAGGTTAGCCACCTGGTCCCTCTACTCAATGCGGGTGTCGTTCGGATTCCCCAGGGAAGAGAGTTAGGCCACTGCTCACCGCATCGAAGAACATCTTCATGAAGTTGATCTCGTCCATCAGAGCGTCCACCTTGGCCTCCAGCTCCACCTTGTTCATGTAGGCGGCGTCCACGTCCTGCGGAAACAGGCATCACACCTGCCTGAGATGGCTCCACCCCCAGCACAGCACAGCCTGGGGATGCGGGTTCTCCTGGCCACACCCACCTTCTTCAGCATCACAAACTCATTCTCTGCGGTGGTACGCTTGTTGATCTCATCCTCATACCTGGTGGTCAAAGGGGCGGGAAGTGTGTCAGAGGATGGGGCCAGATAAAAGCTGTGGCGCTGACCCTGTGAGCATGCTTTCACATGGGAATCGGGGCGCTCACGTCTCACAGGCAGACGAGCAGAGGGCACCGAGAGCCCTGGGCACGTCCTCAGCCTTGACACGCTGCCTTCCCTGAAGCTGCCTACCAAGAGCTCACTCTAGGATCTTTACTATTTGCCTGCCTCAGCCGTCCTCCTGCAGGAGTGGGGCCACGGCTGGGTGGCGGAGCCCTTGCTTAGCATGCACAGATTCCTGCATTCACTCTCCAGCACCACCAAAAGCACAAACAAAGAAACAAACACTAGCAGCCCACTAAATCGGCAGCTGATTCGTGCGGCTGAAAGAATTCCTAGAGCCACCACGATGGGCTCTGTCAGTTCCTGTTTTGAGCGGAAACTATCAAAGGTCTTGCTGTGTGTTTCGAGGACACTGGGAAGAGAGGCCTAGAACGTGAGGGTTCCAAATGGTACTCAGGCAGGTGGGTGAATGCCCGTAGAGGGGACTGCGCCCGAGGCTGGAACTTTCTGAACAGAGACTTAGAGCTTTTTTTAATAGTGTGATGTGCGTGCTTCTAGCCTGTGGGGAAGAGAGAAGCCATTGACTTGCTATGGAGCATGCCTGATACAAAGAAGACCCCAACACCCCTCTATCCACCATATAACAACCCACTTGTTCTTGAAGTCCTCCACGAGGTCCTGCATGTTCCTGAGCTCAGAGTCCAGGCGGCCCCTCTCCCCGAGGACCCCATCCAGCTGCCTGCGGAGGTTGCTGATGTACTGCTCAAACAAGGGATCCAGGTTCTGCCTCACCGTCTTGGTGCCCTGCTCCTGCAGCAGGGTCCACTTGGTGTCCAGGACCTTGTTCTGCTGCTCCAGAAACCGCACCTGGAGGGGCCGAGTGTGAGAGGAAGATGTTTGGGTTTTCGGCTTCTGTAATGCGTCCACTAGTGTGCCTCCTGTCACTTGCTGTCCCACCAAAGCTTGCGGCCTGTGACTGTGAGGGAGAGTCAGCACTGAAGCTCCCAACACCATCCCTCCAGGGAAAATAGGTCCCTCATGCAGGCACAGCATGAGTAGCTGGATGGAACATGGTCCCATTCACTGAGGCTCTTCTGCCCCAGAGGCACATAGGCCTCAGGCACTCCTGTTATGTGAGAGCTGAGCTCATCTCAGCCCACTTGGGCCCGGCACCCTCAGGAGCAGACTCTGGAGGAGAGGAACTCTGACCCGATTCCCGCTGCCTGTCTAACTAAAGAGGAGGGAAAAGCCAGGACAGAGTCACCTGGAAACACCGACATCGTCTGTGCCAAGCCCCGAAGCCCCTGCCCTCCACTGTCTCTGGCACGGACTGTGAACACTCAGGCTGTCTAGGAAGGACCCGTCTCACCTTGTCGATGAAGGAGGCGAACTTGTTGTTGAGAGTCTTGATCTGCTCCCTCTCCTCAGTCCTCACCCGCTGGATGGTGGGGTCGATTTGCAGGTTCAGAGGGGTGAGGAGGTTCTGGTTGACGGTGACCTCTTGGATGCCTCCAGGGGGGCAGACAGGGAAGCCAGCTCCCCCATAGCCACCGCCAAGGCCAGCTCCAGCACCGAAGCCAAAGCCACTGCCGGCTCCACCACCAAAACCAAATCCACTGCCGGCTCCACCACCAAAACCAAATCCACTGCCAGCTCCTGCTCCCAAGCCGAAGTTGCCTCCAGCACCCCTGAAGCTTCGCCCGCCGGAACTGAAGGATATCCTTTTGGAGCCCCCCACATTGTAGAGGCTCCGGCTGCCGTAGCCCCTTGTTGCAAAATTGCCCCCAAGGCTGACCCTGCCGCCACCACCACCACCACTGTGGGACACCGAGCTGAAGCTGGTACGAGAGACAGAGGGGGTGATGGCGGAGGCAGCGCTGAAGGAGCGGCTGCCCCCGCTTCGGAAGGACACGCTGGATTGGCGAGACATGATGGTTTGTTCCCGGATAGCAGGAGCACTGGGCGCTGGTGGCTGGGAGGTGCTGGTGAGGTCTCTGTGGGTGGCTCTGTAACTGAGGAGCTTCAAGGCCCCCGTTTTATCCCCCTGGAAGTGGGCTGGGCGGGAGAGCTGTCGAGCTGTGAATGATTAGTGGGCTGGGCATGCCTGGGGGCCAGCTGTGAGCTCACCCAGCACACCTGCAGTGGTGTGGGGCGCAAACGCTCCCCTGCTCCCAGCAGGCTCTGCTCTAGCAGAAGTAACCCTTTCTTGCAGTGCTGGTGCCCTGGCAGAGTGTTGGGGGCACTGCCAACTTACTCTTGTCTCCACAGGATCTGGGTGCTGTGTGGAGCCCAGAAAGATGCCAGGAAGAACGGCACATTTGCCCATGGCCGCTGTCCTAGCAACCCTTGGAGACCCAGAGACTTAGTGACATGGCCCACTCTCTCAGCCTGGTTCACGCTACCTTGCCAGCTTGGGGGATCTCGCTCATCAGTGGGGGCACAGTGGGTCCCCTGCTTGGTAGTGATCTGCAATTCTTACCCTTGGCTGTGCAACAGGGGCCACAGAGACATGAGCTCTTGGCAAGGCACCCCATGGCCTCACGTCTTGGGTATGTTCCAGAGAGAGAGAAGTGGGGTTCAAACCCTCACTGCATTGTGCTTCCTTTAAGAGAGGACCATTCACCCAAGATATCACTGGGCAGACTCCCTTGCAAGATTCAGACCAGAAAGGCTCCCTCAAGCCTCAGGCTTGAAAACCAGAGGAGGAAGTTCCCTCCCCCAGGCTGCACAGCTCCAAGTTCTCCTTAAGGCCATACCGACCCCTCCACAGTTCCTTCAAACTTGGAGTTCTGTGTTGCTTTTGCTGTTCTTTGTCCTGGGCAGGCCCGTGTAATCCAGGGACCCCACTTAATCCTTTATTTATTTATTTTTAAAAGCCTTGACTCTGGGCTGGCAACCATGTCTTTGTGGGGAGCTTCTCTGCCAGCTTCCCTGGTACCCCCAAGCCGTGTTCCAGCAAGTTCTCAGTTATTCCACCAGGGAAGAAATGAGTCATCGTATCTGTTGATACAGGCTGGAGGCCGCCGCAAACACATACCTGCAGGAGCTTCTAATCTCATCGGGAACATGTTGAGAATCGGCCGGCCTGTTCTAACGGGAGCCACCCTGTTCCAAGCAGCGGGACCTGCCATGTTTCCTCTACCTACAGCCCGAAGCCTCCTTCAGGGCCGAAGGCATGGAAAATGGAATTTCAAGTCTGCGGATTGACTGCCAGAGAAACTAGACGGAGCAAGTTGGGGGGACCAGGCGGCTGGCACGGCAGCCCGCCAGTTCCGATCAGAGTGCCCGAGAGTCTCCCACCAAGCTTGCTGGCATCACCTGCAGCACCTCACAGAAGAAAGGGGATTCCAGCTAGATTTTAGCAAATGTGTAAATGTCCTCTCTGTGCCCTGTCACCCAGACGCCCCAGGCTCTCGCACTCAGTTTGGTTGAGGCAGGGGGAGGAGCCATGTAGGACTGTTGGGGGTCACGTTCTCAGGAAAGCGGGAGTTAGACCGAGGAATCTCTGCACAGAGCCCGAGGTTACCATGAGGGAGCCTACCAAGGCTGAGGGTCTGCTGAAAGAAAGCTCTGGCTCACCAGAGACTGGGCTGGACAAGGCTGCTGCTGGGCCAGTCACTGGCCCAGCTAGCCTGGCAGGACTGGGCTTGGGAGTCTCTTTGTGTGGAGGGTTTCTGACCCCTTTAGAGACTACACTGGGGTTGCCTTTTGTTGTCTCATAGAGATGAGGTGTCAACACCCAGAGATGCTCTGGAGACCCTCAGTCCTAAGCACAGCTTTGAGAGTGAAGCAGGTGTCTAGGGTCTCCTAGCAGGAGCAATTCTCCTTTCTGGAAAATCACTGTCAAGATATGTCCCACCAACACACACACACACACACCGCACTGTGCCCCCTGCCCTGGGAAGCCCCGCCCCCACCCCTCCGGGAGCATCAGGACATTCTCTCTTCCTGTTCAGTCTTCTCTGGGCTCAGAGGACAGGGGTGCATCCTGGCTGGCCTGAGAATGTCACAGTAGCCACACGCAGATCCAGGGCCCGGCAACCAGAGACTGCTGGGCAGCAGGTGACCGCAGCAGGCTGTGCTGGAGGCCTTACAAGAGAAAGGTGCTCTGTCCGAGGTCTGTGGGCGTCTCCATGGTAGGGAGGGTGGACCCTCCCACTTCACCAGACCAGTTGGGTATAGGTAACAGAGAAACCTGTGGGAGCCAGGCTCCATCCTCTGCCCAGAGGGAGACCCACCCCAGCTTGGAATCCCTGTGGGCAGGAAGAACAGGATCACACGGAGGCCTTGGGCCCTCCTGCAGGGCACTCCCAGGACACGGCTGGACATGTCAATTAGCTCCTGCTTCCATTAGCGTGGCTCTGGGGCCCCCAGCAGCTGGCCTCCCTGTCAGAGAAGCAAGTTGCAAGGCAGCTCTTCTCACCTCTGCCGTGGAGAGCATAGAATATGGGTACGTTTGATGAACAGACTTGTGGGTCCGCAAAAACTTCCCAGAATCCTCTCCTCGGAGCCCACACTCCAACCTGTGTGTCTTTGAGCAAAGATACTTAACAGGAGATAGTGAGAGAAAATACAACGGTTTTGCACATGTCTGCCAGGACACACCAAGAGAGCAGATTCCAAAGCCAGGGGCCTCTCATCAGCTTCCCTGTGAACACTGTAACCCATCGCTGGCTTAACCTGACAGATACAGGGTCCTCTCTTTTTTGAGCCCTTCCCCAGGGGTGTGTGTGTGTGTGTGTGTGTGTGTGTGTGTGAACTCTCTCCATCCTTGTTCTGAGTCCCAGGGACCTGCCCATCTCTAGGTCTACGTTCTATAAGGCAAGCCCTTTGTCCTCTTCAGACAGGCACCTTTTGAGGACAGAGCGATGCCTCTTCAGCTCCTTTCTCTTCCATCCCAGCCTCGACTGTGTCCTGGAGCTCTGGTAACCCCACACTCTGCCCAGCCCAGGAAAGCGGGCAAGCAGAAGCACCATCATCTTCCAGCTCTTCCCTTCAGTGCCCTGCACAGTGTGGGGAGGATGGCTGAGGCGTGAGTCACGGCCTCATCGGGCTGAGGTTGGCAGTCCCATCCAGAAGCCTGGAGCCAGTTCACAGGATGGGGAAGGGCACATGGAGCAGCAAGCCAGCCCCAGACGACTCTTCACAAAGCCTAGCCTCAGGGAGGAAGGGAAGAAGAATTTTCCTGCCTCCGCCCAAAGCTATGGTGTCCTACCCTACACTGGTGGGGCCCAGTGTGGGGCTCAGTGGATTCTCAGAATTACAGGGGTGTGAAGAGTGTGTGTGAGAGAGAGAGAGAGTGTGGATGCTTGCACGTGCATGTGTGTGTGAGTGTGTGAGAAGGCATGCGTGTGAGCGTACGTGCCTGTGCGGGTTCGGGTGTGACAAGGTTGCCAGGGAAGCTAGGAACCAAGCCAGTGCGCCAGACCCCAGTCTAAGAAGAAACCTAGGTAGAAATGCAAATGTTCAGAAGTAAGGCCTTGGCTCAGGTGGAGCGTGGGAGCCCAGATGTCAGTACTGGAGTCAGAGTCACGAGCAGACAGGAGCGAACCTTGCAGGAATCCAGGAGTTAACATCCTTCCTCTACAGCGGGGAGGGTGTGTGCCCGCACCCCTGGTCGTCAGAGGCATCGGAGAAGCCCCTTCACACCTCAGGCCTGCACACAAACCTTTGCCCCTTTCTGCTCCTTCTGAGCCTTGACTGTTAGTGCTCAGTTTTCTTATCTAAGTGCCTTACACTAATCATGGCCTCCCTCTGGGCTGTGTCTGGCCCCTGGTATCACCCCTGGAGCATTGTAGACCTCTGGACACGCTGCCCGGTCACTGGCTTGCTCACAGTTTCCTCCACAGACTCGGAGGACACGAGCGTGAGCTTGGTGGAATGGGCCGTGCCGGCAGAGATGTCGATGCTGAGCTGGCTGGGACGAGCAGGAAGGGTGGGGTGCACTCTGGGGGCTGCGGGGAGCAGCCTTGGCCCCGTCCCTCAGATTTAGCAGGCGATTGGCGTTTGCAGTCCAGAGCCCTGAGCAGCTCTCCACAGGTCCCTGCAAGCCTGGCTGCTCTTCCCTCCCTTCACGGGGTTTTGCCAGCGGCATGCATACCAAGTCTTTGAAAATCCCCCTTGCTTGGTTGAAACTGTGGGCTGGAAATCAGCAAATACTTTAATTAGTCAGAGGGGCTAAAAACGAATTACAGCAGGCCAGCAAGAACCTTTCCGCTTCCTTTCCCATAGTGGGGGGATTCTCATTTTCAGACAAACAGGGAGGAATTGCCAGTGGCCAGCACTGCCCTGCAAACGTTTGTGCATCTAGAAGGCTGTGCTGTGCCACAGGATTTTGAATGGTTGTTTTAGTTGTTTATCGTTTTCTGCACGTTTTTCTCTGGTTCTCACGAGCAGACAGGAGCGAACCTTGCAGGAATCCAGGAGTTAACATCCTTCCTCTACAGCGGGGAGGCTGCCTGTGTGCCCGCACCCCTGGTCGTCAGAGGCATCAGAGAAGCCCCTTCACACCTCAGGCCTGCACACAAACCTTTGCCCCTTTCTGCTCCTTCCACCAACAAGAGCCACCTCCACCTGACTTGTCCCAAGAGGCTAGGTACAGAGAAGAGCCTTTGTCCCCATCCTGCTTTTACTTTGGGTGAGTTCCAGTCACAAACATTGATTCAGCACAGGGATATTTCCACAGCCAAGAAAGGAAATCTGGCCACAACCGGAAATGATCCCTTTCCCCAGCGGCCCTCACACTAGAGTCCAGACCATCTTCAAGGGTTACCAACACCTGCTGTCCCCAGTCCTGCCCTGCACACACCCATGCTTTCTGTCCCCACATTCCACTACTGACGTTGCTTTCCCGGGTTCTTGGGACAGATGACACTGCCAGGGGCTGGCAAAAACAGGCTAAGACAGCGGCTCTCAACCTCCCTACTGCCG